ATCATAAATATTTACAGTAAATAATAAAAAACTAAAATGACCAACCAAACATGTCTGTAAGTCTATATTTTAGAAATTTTCTTATTTACATAAAAAACCAAAGAAAACAAAAAAATCGTATGAGAAAGTCTGGTGAGATAGGAGTTTGCCTTCTGTGGCATGTATGGGTACACCATTGTTGAAGTAATAAGAAATAATATTTAATGTAAGATGCATAATTATGTTTTGTTAAATAATTCCTTTACCCATTATAAACGTGATGCACATGTCAATCATGCATAGTAGGACATGAAAAAGATCTTAGGATTGGCTCATGCTCTTTCTAAATAAGATTTAAAGTACTAAAAAACCTATAAGTAAGACGTTTAACCTGCAAGCATTGTGAATCTTCAGAAGTTTTTGTAGGGCTTTTGGTAAAGCCTTTTGAGTTTCTTCCGTAATTGAAGTCATTGACAAAGTGGCATTCCTAGCTCTTGATCCTTGCTAATATGATTTTGTGGTTACTAACTTTTTGTTGTGGTATTGGTATTCTTTAAAGATGGAATATTTCTTGCATCCACGCATTTTAGATCCCAAACCCAAGACTTTTGTTGTACAATTGTACTACGCAAAATCCATTCGCAACATGCATTATGCAATGTAGAAATTGAATCATGTCGCTTAGATAGGTGCGTGTGTGTAGTGGGGTGGGAGAGGGGGGTTAATTTGGTTAAAAGCCTAGAACTCTAAATTAATTTTGGATATTTGTTGATGTAATATAAGCCAGAGATCTGCCCTTCTAGGTTGTGAGTCTTTAGCTTCAAATGGTAAAAATCTAATAGACAACCATCCAAACATGTTTAAGAATTCGTCTGTAATGATGAAGAACAAATGAGAATTTAGGCAGAAATGTACCATGTATTTGACGAGTATGTAGAGCTATACCATAACCTTTACGCCATTCGCTACACCATCGCACTTTGGGCACCTACGTTGCTCCGATCGAAAAATTGATCATTCCTACCCCCTCTAACAATCCTCCCTTAACATATCTCTCATGTTTTCCTAGTCCTGCTTACCCCTGCCCTGCCCCCTGGTTCCTCCACCCTTACAACAGTTCAACTGGGGCACTTAGAGTACTTTGATTGTAAAATTGATAGCTCTTACCTTTTAGCCCACCTCCTAAACCCCAGCCCAATTCCCCTCCTCTCTTAATCACCCCTAAATATCTATTTAATAGTGATTGGATAGGGGGATATTTCATGCAAATAATGTGTTTTGAACTTATACATTTTTTTCATCATAGATTGACTATACACACACACACACACACACACACGTGTGTGTGTGTGTATAATGCAATCAGTCCGTTAGTTCTGGTCTCTTGTTGTTCCCCACCGTTTGGTTACCATACGTCCCACTATGCAGCCACCGTCTAAGTTTATCGGTCTTTCTGTGCACTACTCTATTGCCACTTGTTAGGCTTATATCATGAGATACATATCAGCTAATTCTGGGACGGATACATATCGCCCTGTATATTTAGTAGAAATAAGATCTGATTTTATTAGCCGGTGCTTTCCTTATGGTTTTGATTTATTCTTTGATTTTGATTTTAAATACATGTAGAAAACATTTGGAGATTTCAATTAGTGCTTCACCCGTCTTGTACCTTTTCTCTCCTCATCTTCGATATTCTTCTTCTTTACCTGGGTTGCTTCATCATTGCTTTTACTATCTAGAACCCATGGGTTGAATTAGTCAAATAGAACTCAGGCTTGGAATATCCTTTTTTAGTATTTATGATTAGTCGAAGAACTAAAAAAATAGAACGGGGGCACCCCTGGTGCACAGGTTTTAATTAGTCCAATAGAATTCAGGTCATGCACAATTGACTTAGGCTTACCAATGGCAGTTGCTAATGATCTTACATTAGTCCTCTTTGTAACGCACCTGAAAATCTGAAATAGATCTTAGAATTTAATAATGAATTTTGAATAAACTGTAATTCTAGTTTTTGTTTAAATTAGATAAAAATTGAAATGATAGTACTAAAAGTAAATTATATTATTGTTTTATCAATCGCATGCTCAATTTCTTGTGTTATTAGGTGATTAGAAAGATCCGATTTTGTTTATTGGAATGTTCATCTGGTGATTTTATATAAAAGTGTTAAATTATGTACTTGTATTATTAGGTGATTAAGAAGATAAGAGCTTTTCCACACACTACCGTGAAGTCCTTTCTTACTCTATTTAATGTTCACAGGTTGCAATCCTGGACATATTAAAAACTTTTCTTCAGACTAAAGACGATAACAAATGTTGTTTTTACCTGATCAGAATTATGTTCAAACAAATTTCTCAAGTATTAAAACTGGAGGGAAAAAATATTTATAAGTTGTATGATATTTCAACCTATGGTCAATTGCAGCAGTTTTTTATTCTACTGACCAATAACAAACAAGGGAGTGATCATTTTGAGCAATAAAAAATCCCAATAACCAAACCTTGTGGCAGCCTGTGATAGTTTTAAAAAATATATAAACAGCCTGTTATACAAACCTCATTCATTCCGGTACTTGCAAAAATTTTCCACAGGGCACATAGCGAAATAAGGAGTAAACAAAACAAGAAACAAATCCATCTATTCTTATTTTGACAAGCAAAAATACATTATGAACCATTCCTATTCATATCTGCATGTTTCGCTCGTTCATATGTGAGAGCCCTCCACTCCTTCACCTATCTCTAATTCTCTATGTAATACATTATGAACAAAAATACATTATGAACCATTGTCTATGTAAGTTGTTTTAAGACTTTTGGTTTATGTTGCAGGCATCTTCCAAGTACCAATTTTTACCTTTTGAGTTTCGACTCTGGTAATATCTACATTTCTTCTACATTTATTTTAAGATATCTTCTTCTATGTCTTAAGATCAAGTATTTTCTGAATTCAATATCAACTAACACAAATGGTTGCTTTACAATACATGGTAAAAGTGTAAAACACATATGAAAAAGGATTCACTTTAAAGAAAATATTAGATAGCCCATAAGAACCTAAAATATTCTGTTTCTATCTTTCTTAGTTTGCTATTAGACTATAGTTAGCTCCTATGGACACTTGAAATTATCACGAACTAGGATCTTTGAAGATGAACGACGTGAACAAAGGAACTTTAGAAGACATTATTTATAGCTATTATGTGTAGTGTAATCTCTTATGTGTAAGTTTCAATATTCATAGCTACAATAACATACCTCTTCTAAACAGTCACCCATTGGGCATTGAATGCGCACATGCGCATTCCAAGGGTGTTGAAAGGACCCAAAAGAAATAGTGTGAAATTAGCATGTTCTGTTTTTATTAATAGTTCTCAAAGAGGCATTCCTTTATTAATAGTTCCCAAAGAGCCATTGTTTCAGAGCATTCTTGTATTTTATATGAAGATTGATGCTTGAAGTACGTATGCCAAACATAGTTGTGTATTATATTCTTCAAATCAAATGTTTGTATCAAAAAAGTCTTTAAAGCAATGAACGCTTCTTCAAACAAAAAAACATTCAATCTGTGCACCACACTTGTCAAATTAAATCGTTGTTTCTAAAAATGGATTAAAGCAATGAACGCTTCCTAAAACAAAAAAAATTAAAAGCATAGCATACTTGTTTTTTGTTTCTATATTGTGTTTAAAGTTGAAGCTCTACTTTGAATATCACTTGTGTTTTTCTGACTACGTTGACAAGTTTGTGATATCCTTGTGTACTATGCAATTTTGTAAGTTAATACTTCTTGAACTTAATTTCTTTTCTGCTTGCATGTTTATATAATTTAAATCCGAGAGATTTTACCATCCCATTAAACTTGTATTATATTATTAGTTATTACCAAAAACTAAATTTAGATGATATCAATATGCGGGTGTGATATGCTATATATCGACTAACATTGTCAATGCCAACCATCTCTGTTGCTGGTTACCCTCATTTATCATTAATTAAATTATGATTTTAAATCTCTCCAACAAAATTCGTTTTAAATTTCAAAACTCATATCTGTTTCTGAAATTTCATAACTCATATAGAAAGAGAAGAGGTTATTTGAACCAAAACGCTGGATAAACTTTTTCTTTACGAAGGATCGGAGTTTATATACTCTATGTTTCCCGGGAGTCGCACGCAGCAAAATTTCTTCCATCTTCCTTCCCAAAAACCCTAACTCCTTCTGGTACGTCTTTCTCAATTGTTTTTTTTTTGTAATTTTTTTATACCGAAAGTTTTAATCCTTTTTTTTGGGTTTGTTGTTGAGTCTTTTACTTCAATGAGTATTGTTATTTTTATGGACTTGGATGATTGGTTCAATGATCAGATGCAAAACCAATGGATTTAGTGCCGGAATCTTTGCGGATCGATAAACATGGGAAATAATGAATGAACTAATTTGAGATCATTGTATTCTGGTGCTTCTCTAATTAATGAAGTAGCAGTTAGTCAAGCAATGCAACTTTCGACGTTGAGCCGGGGGTCTCTTTGGAAACAGCCTCTCTACTTTCGAGTAGGGGCAAGGTCTGTGTACACACACCCTCCCCAGACCCTACTCTTGTGGGATTTAACTGGGTTGTTGTTGTTGTTGTTGTTGTTGTATTCTGGTGCTTACTGCTAATGTCTATTGGAATTCATAATTTTAATAAACTTATTTCAAATTGTAATAACTTATAACAGCTATGGTGCACTTGCCCTTCAAAATTGCAAACCACATTGTTGCTGATCTTGAAAAAGGGGGACGAGTACTTCAGGTATGTGTGTGTGTGTGTGTGTGTGTGTGTATCATCCTCCGCTTTTTCATTAGGACTTAGGTTAAAGAAGTAATTATGATGTGTGAAATTGGACCGACATGTATTATTGAGGCCTACAACGTTCGTAAGTGTTAACGGTTTGTTTTGTTTTTCGGGGAAAATAATAATTTTATTCTTGTGTTTGCTAACATGTCATCATGTTTCATATGTACGATCTCAGGATGTACACTCCACTGTTAGGGGCCACATCAGTCAACTTCCCAATGAAGTTCTTGAGTGTATTCTCAATAAATTAAAACATAGGGATGCAGTTAGAGCAAGTTTGGTATCATGTAGATGGAGGCATCTTGTTTTGTCCCGGGCTCGCCTTGTTTTTGATTTGCCTAGCATGTTTGAAAAGGAAAACTGTGACCTGAAGGGAGCCTCTGGAAGGAAATGTGTTTGTTTAGAATACAAAGATCGATTCGTACAAGCTGTAAATCAATTCATAGCTTCGTATAGAGGCACACACATAAATGAATTTGTTGTCTGTTTTTGCCTGAAGAGGGACTCTGCTTCTGCTGTCTTAAATTGGATTAGATTTGCTCTTGATTTAGGTGTGCAACTGCTCGACGTGCAGCTTTGTGGTGAACACTGCAAAGCTAAAGTGCCGTTGTGTGGTACTCGTTGCGAAATTCCTCTAAAGCATCTTCTGCCATCTAACCGTGATGCAGGAGAAACGTTTATTCTCCGTCCATTCAGCCAGCTAAAGGCCCTCATATTTCATCGCATATGTTTGAAGTCTCACTGTATGGAGACTTTGCTATCAAGCTTGGTAAACCTTAAGCAGTTGGAAATGAAACAATGCCAATTGCCTTCCTATCTAAACCTCAACTCACTGACCAGTCTAGAGGGTGTCTCGGTTTTCTATTGCACCATGTTGGAAAAGATTGACGTGGCTAGTCTTCAGCTTAAGAGTTTGAATGTTTTGTGCCGGAGGATTGTTTCGTTGGAGCTATCTGGGGTTCCTAACTTGGAAGAGCTCTGTTACTCTGTGCATGGTGGTAGCATTATGCACCATATTTTTCTGAAGCTGCCCGGACTTGTTCCTCGTTTGAGAACTTTGAGGGTCGACTCTAGTAGTTCCAACAGGGTAGCGCATAAAGTTGATGTTGGCTATCAAATGCAATTTTGTTTTTTTCTTTCTTATGCACTATGAACCAAATGTTTTTGTTTTGTAGATTGAGCACATGCCAGAAAGCGTGACTACATTCTCAAGACTTAGGACATTAATGCTGCTGGCATTGGATCCCAAAGTGGGTGATATGATGTCTAAGATGGTTCAACTTCTAAAATCGTGCCCTCTACTCTGTCATCTTAGTACATGGGTGAGCCGTGTTGTTTGATCTTCTTGCATTCACTTTGTGCTGTGTCTTGCATACTAGCTAGGAGCACATATACGGGTAGTTATAAATCTTGACTGTGACGACTAATTTTGGTTGCAAATTGCAGCTGTGTGTCCGAGAGGACAAGGAACCCGAGAAGCTAGAGTCCGTTGTTGAATACCATCATGAATGTCTCGAGTGGATTTCAATCCATGGATTTGTGGGCACCAAGTATCAGATCGAGTCTTGTAAGTATCTACTCAAACTTGCTCCTCGCGTGAAAAGGATGGGATTAAGGCGTGCTTTGCCCGATTTGTTGTCCCGTCTAAAAGTAGGGCGGAGAAGACATGTACTGGGTGAAGAAGGATGTGAGAGCGCACTGAATGCATTGAAAGCATTTTCAAATGATGTGAAAGTGTTCTTCTGAAGAAACATTACATCGGAGCAAATGTGATACAGAGTAATAATAATAATAGAACTCTCTCTGTCCATTCCATGAATAAATTTAGTTCCTATAATTTTTTTTTACTGATGTTTGGTTTAAATTATTTTTAATTTAATTTGTATGAACGTAAGCAGAAAATTTGAAAATAAAATCTACTCGGTATATAATTAAAAACTAAACGAAACGTCTAATAAAATAAAAGACAATTTTATTTGCTCAAATACTTAAATGTCTTAATCAAGTTAGTCCTAATAGAATTTGTGATAACCACATTAGTCACTTGTCTTGCAATATATACCGTATAAACAGTGGTACCATGTTTCTCGTACATCTGCGACGAGTACTCTGTACTCATTTAGAGTAATTGAATGCTGGTTTTCGAGCAACTGAATATTCATTTTCAAGTAGGTGATTACTCATTTTTCAAAAGTTTAATTGTGACTTTATATTTTTTTTGCGTAGTACAAATTAAAATTTTGAAATGATGATCTGTAAAGTATACGGTTAACTTAATTTTACGGTGAGTTTGACATCAAGTAATTCAAAGGAGAGATATGAATGCCCCAAAAAATTTATATTAACGCAAATAGGATTTATAATTTTATATTGGCATTTTAATTCATACATGTGTGTCATGTATGAGATGAATTTTTGCCTACATTTAAATCTTGTTAGGCCAACTGTCTTTCTCGTCAGAATATATTGCCAACATACCTAGCCACAACCCTCCACTGAGTTCGGACAGCCGTTAACATACCTTCATTATCGCTGGCGGAGAAGCATACCTAATACGTTGGTCTAAAATCTAAATTATTTTTCACCATAATTTATAGTGAGCCCATTAAACAGTGACCCGGCCCAAAAATTTGGGCGGGAGTAATTGAATATACGGTGAAAAATAGAAGGAAACCACCAAAATGGTCGGGCCATTAAACAGTGACCGGGTCATTTAATTTATAAATCTTTTTTGGACGGAGAGAGTATTTCTTATCTAAAAAAAGAAGGGAAACTTTTATTTTGCATTGAATTAAGAATGACACGCTTAACAAAAGTTTTGGAAATCTACCATCTCACGCTTCACAATGGCACCCTTAAAAACGGAGTAGATATGCAAGTTAAAGCACATTTATTTTAATATAATTGTATAATTGTAATTATAATACACCTATAAAATTAAGGGTGTGTTTGGTGAGCAAAGCAGGTACGGAGTATGAGTTTTGACATCTTTAAATATCAAATCATTTTTTGGTATTTGGTGAAGTGAAACGAGATATCGAATTTAATATTATACTCCGTATCATTTTTTGGTGTTTGGTGAAGTCTCCTGAATTTAAACGATATCAATATGCGGGTGTGATATGCTATCGACTAACATTGTCAATGCCAATCATCTCTATTACTGGTTACCCTCATTTATCATTAATTAAATTATGATTTTATATCTCTCCAACAAAATTTGTAAATTTGTTTCAGATCTCATGGGTTTCCTAAAATTTCATACGGAGTAACTCATACGGAGTATACAAATACAAGGAGAAAGGTTATTTGAACCAAAACGCTGGATAAACTTTTTCTTTACGGAGGATCGGGCAAGGAGTTTATATACTCTTTATTTCCCGGGAGTCGCACGCAGCAAAATTTCTTCCATCGTCCTTCCCAAAAAACCCTGACTCCTTCTGGTACGTCTCTCTCAATTGTTTTTTTTTTTGCAATTATTTTTTATACCGAAAATTTTAATCCTGTTTTTTTGGTTTGTTGTTGAGTTTTTTACTTCAATGAGTATTGTTATTTTTATGGACTTGGATGGTTGGTTCAATGATCAGATGCATAACGAATGGATTTAGTGCCGGAATCTTTGCGGATCGATAAACATGGGAAATAATGAATGAACTAATTTGAGATTATTGTATTCCGGTGCTTACTGCTAATGCCTATTGGAATTCATAATTTTAATAAACTGATTTCAAAATGTAATAACTTATAACAGCTATGGTGCACTTGCCCTTCAAAACTGCAAACCACATTGTTGCTGATCTTGAAAAAGAGGGACGAGTACTTCAGGTATATATATATATATATATCATCCTCCACTTTTCCATTATGACAGGTTAAAGAAGTAATTATGATGTGTTAAATTGGACTGACATGTATTATTGAGGCCTACGACGTTCATAAGAAGTAATTATGATGTGTTAATTTTATTTTTATGTATGCTAACATGTCTTCATGTTTCATATGTGTCAATCTCAGGATGTACTACACTCCACAGTTGAGGGCCACATCAGTCAACTTCCCGATGAAATTCTTGAGTGTATTCTCAATAAATTAAAACTTAGGGATGCAGTTAGAGCAAGTTTGGTATCATCAAGATGGAGGCATCTTGTTTTGTCCCGGGCTAAACTTGTTTTTGATTTGTCTAACATTTTTGAAATGGAAAGCTGTGACCTCAAGGGAGCTTCAGAAAAGAAATGTGTTTGTTCGGAATACAAAGTTAAATTTGTTCAAGCTGTGTATCAATTCATAGCTTCGTATAGAGGCAGATGTATAAGAAAGTTCATTGTTCATTTTTGCCTGAAGAGGCAGTCCACTTCTGATGTCATGGATTGGATTAGATTTGCTCTTGATTTAGGTGTGAAAGCGATCGACTTGCAGTTTTATTGTGAACATTGCAGTGCTAGAGGGGCATTGTGTGGTACTCTGTGTGAAATTCCTATAAAGCATCTTCTGTCATCTAAGTGTGATGCAGGAGAAACATTTTCTCTCCGTCCATTCAGCCACGTAGAGGCCCTCAGATTTGATCACACTCGCTTGAACTCTCAATGTATATGGAGTTCGCTATCAACCTTAGTAAACCTCAAGCAGTTGAAAATGGAATTTTGCGAATTGCCTCCCCATTTAAGCCTCAACTCACTCACCAGTCTAGAGCGTGTCTCGGTTTTGTTTTGCATCGGGCTGAAAAAGATTGAACTGGCTAGTCTTAAGATCAAGAGTTTGAGATTTGTGTGTGAGAGGACTCTTTCATTGGAACTAACTGGGGTTCCTAACTTGGAAATACTCCAGTATGCAATGCCTGAGAATGGCTTGTGGTACAAGTTTTTGAAGCTGCCCGAATTTGTTCCTCATTTGAGAGCTTTGAGATTGGACTTTAGTTCCAACTGGGTAGGCTCATAAAAGTTGATGTTTGCTATCAAGTTTTCAAGTGCCATTATGTTTCTCTTATGCACTATAAACAATACTCCGTGCGTTTTTGTTTTACAGCTTGAACACATGCCTGAAAGCACGATTACATTCTCAAGACTTGGGATATTAAACGTGGAGTTGGATCCCAGAGTGGGAGATATCATGTTTAAGGTTGTTCAACTTCTGAAGTTGTGCCCTCTACTCCTTCATCTTTATACATCGGTGAGTGTTGTTGTTTGATCTTCTTCTATTCACTTTGTGCTATGTCTTGATATACACTATATATCTAGTTATAAATCTTTGACTGTGACGACTGATTTCGGTTACAAATTGCAGCTGTGTGCCCGAGAGGACAAGGAACCAGAGAAGCTAGAGTCCATTGATGAATACCATCATGAATGTCTCGAGCGGATTACAATCCGTGAATTTGTGGGCACCAAGTATCAGATCGAGTCTTGCAAGTATCTACTCAAACTTGCTCCTCGTGTGAAAAAGTTGGAATTAGGGCGTGCTTTGCCCGATACGTTGTCGTGTCTAAAAGAAGCAGGGTGTAGAAGTCATCCAATGAGTGAAGAAGAATGTGATAGCGTGGTAAATGCGCTGAAACTATTTTCAATTGATGCAAAGGTGTTCTTCATCTAATTTAAAAAAACATTACATGCTTATTGAACTTGATTATCTTCTTTTGTTGATTATTTCAATAATTTACAGTGAATTTTTCATCAAGTTTACAGCATTTCCAAACACGTATCGGTTAGCTATGGAGCTAGTTAATACACAGCTTACAGTACAAGACTCCCAAAAATTGACCTAACAAAGGGTGATGTATAAATCCCCTATTCCTAAATTTTGAGTATGTTATGGACTTGGATGCTTGGTTCAATGATGAGATGGAAAATTACTGATGTCTTACACTATCTCTAGAGTAAGATAGTGAAAAGAAAAACGAGAAGACAAAATGGAGTAAGAAGAAAAACCAAATTCATCCTATTCGACCCTTTCCCACCTTACCACCCACATCCACTCCTGCTTGTTCTAGCCCCATTCTACGTTCTCCTTCGCCACCACCTTGCCTTGTCCACCCCCAACCTCTCACTCACCCCCACGCCCTATCAATCCCCGCCCTATCCCTCACCCCACACCCAATCTACCACCGCCCTATCCCTCACCCCACACCCAATCTACCACCGCCCTATCCCACACCCAATCTACCACCNCCCACACCACCTGGCCCCGTCACTTGTCACACCACACCACATGCCTTAACACCCTACTCAGCCATCCTATCCCCATATTGCTAAAGTATTTCTAAATTGTCTAAAATACGGAGTATTTTTTTGTATATCTCTTTTCAAATATTAACATTTGAAAATTGTATTTTGAGAAAAAGTTCTTTTGGGCCAAACAACGAGAAATATGAATTAGCTTTTGAAATTATAGTTAGTCTTTGACTCCTCGCTTTGAAGTCAAATAAGACCTTATTTTGGTCGAAGAAGCAAGCCAGTTACATGGCCGCCAATGTCATTTTCTTTTTGAAAATACAAAACATCAATGCCGAAACAAAGCCCAAGTGGTACCGATACGATAAACATATCAGATATAAAAGGATTTCCAGTACATTCAAGCTTCAAGAAAGATTGAGAAAGGATAGAAATAGAAGGAGAAGAGAGTGAGGGTGAGGAAGAAAAAAAAGGAAGGTTTAGGGTATAGAATAATTTCTATTGATTGATTTCTTGAATAATAATGATGAATGATTACAATATAAAAAGAGTATAGGTCACCCTCATTGATCTAATGGGCTATTGGACCCATACTAAAACCCTAAGCATGATAAACAATACGAGTTAAAATATTAGTAACTGCTACGAAGTAATTAACAACTAATTAAGTACTTCTTTTGCCTAAAAATTAATTTATTTTTCACTATTTACAATGTCAAACTTCATTTACTTTATTACGAGTAGCATACTTTTGTTGTTCATTTGATAAAATAATATGATCATGTTACCTCTTGTTTTGTAAATCGTTTGATCTAGTTTTTAGATATGTAATTTTTTCAAATTCTACACCATTTTTTCATATGAAATGATTTAAAAATAAATTCAGACAAAAATCAATCTGTGAGTTTGTGGCATTATGGGCTTGTTCTCTTCACTTAATCTGAATGAATCTGATCTAATTGGAATACGGTTTGATCATCTGGTCTAAACTAATTCATTATAAGAATAAGTTAAAGAGAACATAGGTCTTGCAAGTATTTGCTCAAACTTGCTCATCGCACGAAAGAAATTGGCATTAAAGTGTGTTTTGCCCCATACGTCGTCGTGTGTGAAAGATGCCGGGTGTAGAAGTCATCCAATGAGTGAAGAAAAATGTGAAAGCGCGGTGAATGCGTTGAAATTTTCAGATGATGTGAAGGTGTTCTTCTTTTGAAGAAACATTGAGCTTTTCTTTCATTATCTATAGTCTTTGCCATGGCACAAAATTAAAGAACCCATTGCTCTATATGATTAAATAACTACTACGGTCTACGCCAAACACTTGCTCCAATAATTTACACTGTACCTACTCAATTAAGACACTAGATAATAATTGACTACCCTAAAGTTATACTGTGAAGGAGTTTCCATTTCTACTGGAATTTCTCTCTTCCCAGTTCTTGATCAAATCTGCATACCCTTCAGCTGATGCAAGAGCAAATTCTGTGAGTGAGCTCACAGAAAATGACATCCCAGCACAAAGCACTCTAATGGCAACCTCAGCCATCTTCTCAGCTGTCATGACTCCCTCATCATCATCATCATCACCACCATCCACTCTCCCAACTTCCACCAGCTCCATGTTGTTAGTGGCATCACCGCCGCTGAACCGCCTTGACCCACCATTGCTCCACCGCGCGTCGTCTCTCATCTGGCGTGCATATAAAGAACCAACCCCTGCCGCGAAGAAGTCCATTCCTTCCAGCACGGGACGCTCTCTCACGCTGTCCAACAGTGTTGACCACTGGATGCACACGTTGAATATCGGCGGGCCCCCCTCTGGGGGAGGAGGAGAGCGTGCGGGCTTTGACTTCCCAGAATCCTTGCTGAGGCAACGCAAGACCCATCCCTTCAATGCTTGCAAGTAGGACCGTTGAGAAGTGATCCACGACTCGAAACAAGCTCTCCAGTTTCTCAGCTCCATCTCAAGGTTGGCTGCTGAGCGAGCCAGCTGGTGAGGCTCAGATTGCGACATTATTGTGTATTTCTTGGTTCTTGAATTGGTGGACGGTGTGCTGGCTAGTAACAGTTTAGCATCGTCGAGTGTTCGTTTCTGTATATGGTGGCACTCCGCCATCACCTTCCACATTTTACCTAGCCTGTTTATCACCATCAATCAATGGAATGGCTACTTTTAGTAGTGATTGCAGATAGAGCAATAGTTATAGTGAGCATATATAAACTTGTCATGTCGTAGTAGCTATAAAGCATATCAGAAAAAGTCAGCCGGCTATTAGAGCATTCCCACTTTTGGTCCCAACTACTATTTATTCATTTTCAGTTTTGCCATTTTGGTCCTTTATGGCCCACTAAAAGTGTCAAGGAATCCATAGTCATGTTGTTCACACACCAAAAGTAGAAAAAGTAGTAGTCATGGGACAAAAAGTGGGAAAATTTCTTAAATTAAGGCAGATATTGCTTGGTTTTATTGATTTCACGAATAGAAACTTCTACACGTATTGGATTTTGCGTTTATGTTATACTTTGAAGACAAGAAGAAAGTCATCTATGATCAATAAACCTTTGAGTAAGTGGTGAATAGCACTTAAGAAAAGGGAGCATAACAACTTACATACCCTTCCACCAGTTGTAAAAGCTGAGGCTGAAGTTCATCATCCCTTAAAGATTCAATCCTTTTCGAGATTGACTCGACCGAGTGTATCGATATTTTTATCTGAGTATGCAAATCCCTAATGGTTGCTCTTGTTTTTTCAATAGTAGAAGGATCCGCCCCGCTCACATCTAGATTTCTGAGTTGTGCACATTTCTTCTCATACGTTAAGCGAACTCGCTCACCAGCCTGATTAGCATTCAAAACTGTCAACATTATAGCCTTTTATGGATTTACAGTATTTACTAAATTTTTGACACTAATGACCATAAAGATATCATACCGCCCTGCAACTAATTGGGATTAGGGTAATGGTGGTGATGGTAGGTGATAGATCTGCTTGATGCCTTGATTGACATATTTAGAAGGCAAAAGAAGTATTATCACTGCAGTGATGGTGAAATTCCTTCAAGAAACCATTTCTAAATTGCTTCTAGATGATGTAACTTTGTGAACAATTCCTTTACAGCTCATCATCATCATCAAGACATCAATACCATATGCCCAACCAGTTGAGGCGGTGAAAAATTCTCAGTTAGGGCTGATAACATTAAACATGGATGCCAAAGCGACATTAAATAATGCTCACATTCATACTTTGTCGCAGTTACACCAATAAATATGCCTTGTGGACTCAAAGAATACTATGAATAACTTTGAACGGTATCTCTCACCTTTGAACAGTTTTTCATTTTCCAAGGATTTTGCAAGTAAATCATATGCTAGCCCCAAAAAAGAAAGAAAATTATCCATTATGACCCCAAAGCATTTTCCAATGAAACTCATGTATTCTAAGAATCAAACTATCATTGAAGTGGCACATGGTGATTAAGTAATTGATTGCAGATGCATACCCTAACTTCTTGGTAAAGTTTCTTTTCCCAAATATATAATCTGTCCAGGGTTGACTGGTGGCTGCTTGAAAACATAGAGGACTCGTCTGATATATCACTGTTGCTTTGATAACTTTCATCTTTTAAAATGGAAGGATTTATCAAAAATCTAGATGAAGATGATCTTGAAGACGCAGAGCGAATGAGAGCTATTGGGTTTAGCATTTTCATGGCTGCAAAAGAAAACAAGATTAAACCAATAGGCAAACACGCGAGAAATATTGTTGGAAATCAATTATGGGAAATAGGTTAAAATATGGAGAAAAACGAGTATGCAGTACATTAAGTACGTCAAAGTATTTTCTTTCTAACATTATAATTTGAGAAATGTTGTATGTTTAGAGTGCACAAAAAAGCATTTCATCACATGTCAAGACTTAGAGTGGATATGTATACATTGTTTTTTTTGTAAAAGTAATTCACAAGTTTTTAACATGAACTGCTGAGCCCTGATAAAAATTAAGAGGTGTTGTAATTAAAGTGCATGAGCATGGGTAAACTTACATTTCATGTCATTTGATGTGGGCGAATACTGAGCCCTGATAGACTCCAATATAGATGACACCTCTTTAGCTGAATTGCAGGCAATGGTAAATTGGGCTTCAAGTTCCTTAATAACTTCTGCCATGCTTGTTGGCCTTCTATTGACATAAACTGTAAATCCCGACATTTCCTTCTTCGGTTCACAACCAGCAACTGCTGTCTCTTTAGTAGTGAGGTGCCTTGTGTTTTGTGCCCTAGCCACTGCCGTACCGTGATTGGCATTATACCTTACTCCTTGAACATGGCGCTCGGCATTTGAACTTTGTACTTCAAAATCACAATAGGCATTTGAGTTCGATTCTTGAAAATAACGGTTGCCATTTGGGTGTAATTCATGATAATAATTATTTGGATTTGTGTTAAATCCTTGAACATGATGACGATTGGCATTCGTGTTTGATCCTTGATAATGATGGGGGATGACATTTGGGTTTAAATTTTGAAAATGACGGCTGGCGTTTGAGTTTGATCCTTGAAAACGGAGGTTGTCATTCAAGTTTGACCCTTGAAAATGATGATTGGCATTTGAGTTTGATCCTTGAAAATGAGGTTTGTCATTTGAGTGTAATCCTTGAAAATGCTGATTGGCTGAACTCAAGTTTACTCCTTGAGAAGGATGGTTGGTGGCATTTGAATTCAATCCTTGAGTGTGAAGATTAGGATTTGAGTTAAACCCTCCAACACAATGCTCTGTATTAATGTGTTCATCAACTTCATCACTATCATCATCATCACTCTCATCATCAACATCTTCCACCAAGACTTCTTCCTTATTGACTTTCTGATGAAACCTATTATGTCTCTCATCTTCTCTTGCACTTTCCCTGCATGTACTTTCTTCTTCATTTTCAGACTCCTCTTCAAGATCAGGGATCCCTTCTGTTTCCCTAACATGCCTTAACCCATCATCATCCAAAATTTCAGGACCAGGGCTGTTACTTGCCGTGGGATAACCACCATAGTAATCCAATGAAGCAAACGGGTTCCATAAAAAATCCCATGGTGAATTATTCTGGGGAGAAGCATCAGGCATATTGCTCGTGGGTGGAGATCGCATAGAGAAAAACCCATCATCCATCCCACCATATTGATGATGCGCAGGAGGAGAATACGCATGAATGTTGAATGTTTCAGGTGTTTGAGGTGGTCTCTCCTCCACAGAAACCGAAGGATTCCCACGGGGTCTAAGGTAGTAGTTAACTCTCAATGTGGGTTCAATGGATATGAATCCAGAGGGTTTCACTCTCTTAACAGGTGGTGGGAGAGACCGGGACGCGGTGAATGGATCCAAACAGAACTCGCGAGGCTCGTCTACCTCAACATAGTCTCTAAGAGCAGCTGAGACGCGCTTCATTGATTGGATATAAGCAATGTGAACGGAGGCAAACTGAAACCTATATTCCACTGCTTGTTTAATGAACCTCTTCCTGTCTTTACACAACCGGACCGACTCTTCATTATCCACTTTGGATGAAGAACATCCCATCTCTTAACCCACCCACCTCACCAGATGATTCATACTCAAACTGCTCATTACAAGATGATGATGGTGGTGGTG